CTTTTTTGTTCCATGTACTGGTGTCACACGGACTTGTGCAGCGATTGACTGGAGGAAGTGGCAAGTTTTCAAAATGAAATACCACAATGTAAATACATACATTTTTAAACAACTTAATCCTTTTATTGCTGCCTTGCGCCCAATAATCCCTGTGGTTGAGTTAACATACATACTAACACAAAATGAAAATAAAAATACAGTAATACCTTGAGATACAAGCATAAACTGCTCCAGGACTGATCGAGATGCTCGTATCTCAAATCTTTTGTTTTCCCATAAGAAATAAAAATAAAAAAATCATCCGTTCTGGGCCTTTAAGAAAAACTCCCTTATTAGTGCTAATAACATGGGGGGCATGTTTGTAATTGCTATAGAGACATACACACACAAAAAATTATAGTATATAAAAATTCCTGTGATATAAAATAAAATGTGATTTAAATTATGAGTTCTTACCTTCCACACAGATGAAACAGCAGCGGCTAATGGCGTCATGTGCAGAGGAGGAGGAGGAGGAGGGAGGGAAGAGAGTTGGCCCGTACGTAGACACTTGATTCCGTCGCGTACCTTACACGTACACTACGTAAGTGACATAAACTTACAGGTGACCATGAGAAAAGAAACATTTCCGGCAATGTGGTCTTTTGCTTTTGTGTTGCACCGCCCCTGCACCCTGTGGTGTAAAACCACATGGGCATAATTGGCGAAAATGTAACCTTCTATGTTTTCGCATTTGTCTACAGCCGACATCTTCTGCTCTGCCTTTACAATATGTTTTAACGCAGCAGAGGATTAATTACATCCTCAGCACGTGCCATTAACGCCTGCAGGCTAGGATTTGATTTTTTTTTAGTGTACTCTAGGTGCACATATAGGGCACCAGATGTGGCTAAACTCATTTCCAGACAATATTGTCAGAGAGGAAGAGCAGGTAGACAGCGTGTTCAGACACATCAGACTCCAACAGGGTTCCATCCACTATTGTGAAAACATTTAACTGGGGAAAAAGAAATCTGAATGTGTCTGTTTGTTTTGGGTATGTTACCAAAGTTGGATGCTTTACTTGATTTGTGAGAAATGATGTCAACTGATCCCAGTGCCAATATTGACATTATCTGTGAGCATCACCATAATCAAGTGTGTCCTGTGAAGTTTTTCTGTTTTATAAAAATGTGGAAGCTAAAATTACTGGTGACTTTCAGTATTAGTGTGACTGCATGCCCAAACATACCCATTAAACTACATACGATACTAAGCTATTAGGATAAAGGACATGTCATTTAATAACATGACAAATTCATATAAATGTTTTTTTTTTAAGATATTACATTTGTGTAAAAATAATAATGTGGAAAATTTTTAAATATCCCTTTACAGGTTTGGCCAAGCTCTGCATCCTTTGAGTTACACCTCTTTACTTACTGGGTCACTTTATCCACAACTCTGTGGGTAAGGTGGCGTGACCATTTGCAAACATGCCTCCTAGTGAGTCAGACAGTCAATTAAAAAGGATTGAGGGAATTTACTGCCTACCTTTTTGGAGCGTTTGAGTGCTGTGCACAACCCTCCCTCTGCTGCCGGTACTAATCCCAAGTCCCGATAAAATGGGGGGAGGGAGGTTGCTCAGGGAAAGGCACACGGCTAAAAAAAAAAAAAAATGCGCCTAATCTTGCACGGTAGTTATTCAGATTGAATATCCTTAGACAAGGGAGCAGCTTTGAGGACAAGACGCCCCAGTGTGTTTAAATGTGTGGAAAAAAAGCAGCAGACATGACAAAGGACAGGATTTATCTTTAGCAGGTTTATTACTCGATGCAATGAAATCAAACTGCAGGATGCAGAAAGGAGACTCTGGCTCAATCATCTTCACATTTACATCAAGATTGGTGGTGTTTTTTGCAGCCTGGTGTGCATCCATTAAACAGAACTGCATGTGAAGTACTGTCTATTGTATCTGCACACAGTGACTCTTAGCTCCCACGGCTGCTAATGCAATAAGCGATGGAAATGAATTTGCGGTGTCCACTGACACACATCTCTCTCCCCCTCTCGCTCTGTGTCTCTGTGTCCGTACACATTTGTGTGTTTCTAACTGTCAAAAAAAGAAGAAGAAAGGAAGAGAAAAAAAAACGTTGCACGACATCCTGCATAACAGACAGGAAGCACAGCAGACAAATGTTGCTAACCCTACTTTCGTTTGCGGTCTAGATACATGGCGGGGTTACTCCGTTGTATCAGCAGCTGCTTTTTTTTTTTTTTTTTTTTTTTTTTTTTTTTTTATCTAATCCAAGCATGCATGTAACATGTACATGAGGAGAAATGATTCCTGTCATGTGATGTGGTTGGTGTTGGTACAAGCCAATACTACAAGGTCATCAGTTATGAGGATGAAGGGAAGGATGGATGGGAGAGAGAGTCGGAGCGAGGGATGCTGAGGGAGACAGGAGGTATATTCATAGAAGCAGCGGTATTTATAGCCACCCAGAGGGGAGGATTGAGCGTGGCGGGGTTAGGGGGGGCTTAGGGGCGTGGTTTAGGTTGTGGTTTTCCCACTGCTTTACGAGCCGGAGAGAGAGAGAGAGAGAGAGAGATTGGAGACGGGTGAGGGAAAGAAGAAAGGAAGAAAGGGGAGGGCTGTTTTGAGTGTGTGTGAGTCTGAGAAACGAGAGAGAGAGCGAGAGAGGAGGGAATCTGTCAGATTCAGATACACACTGTTCACAGTGTGTGTATGTTTGTCTTTAGGAGAAAGAGATGAAGAGAGAACAGGGGATGACAAGAGCAGAGAGTGGAGGCAGAGCTATAAAGAGGCAGCACTGGACCACAAAGTGAGGTATGTACGGCTGTCATGCTGCATGCTTCCCACAAATAGCCGTCTGTGTCTGTGTGTGACTCAAGTGTATCTGCCTGTTTATATATATATATATATATATATATATACACACTTCAAGATTTTTTTTAAAAGCTACACAGTGTACACACATTGGATTGTGTAAGTGAACAAATGGATATGGGACCCTACATGTTGGGGGCATGAATTATGTAATATGTTGTGCACCATTGTCAGTGTGGGCGCTCTTCCACATATATGTACGCGTGTGTGTGTGTGTGTGTTGTGTGCCTGTGGTATTTATGCTGAGGTGTCTGTGTGGCCATTGTGCTAGAGCGCTGCAACAGCCCCTTGACCACTGGTTCTGATTTACAGCTGTTATAAATACACAACAGGTACTGTAGGGGGCCTAACGCAGAGATTATTCACGTTGTTTTTTTTTCGGTTGATGGAGAAAATGAAATGGTTCAAGAACCTGGTCTGCAGTCAGTCAGGTCCTCCTTTGTGCTGCTGCTTTACAGTCTCACAGGAAGGGTCTTACAGTAAGGTAAATCCTCACATCAACACAAAGCGGTCATTCTGCTTACTGGAGGGATGCCACTTTTCATACCAATTATGAATACATGTTCGAGTAGCCTGACAAAAGGGTACAATTTTGACATTTAAAACCCCGTCCAAGCCCAAAAGATCTCAAGTAGTTACAACGTGACACAGCAAAAAAGGCAAAGTTACCATGGATCAACTTTTGGTCTCAAGTTTGGGATCTTTTGAGAAAAGAAAAGGTCAGTAGTATACCGTTTGGCTGTTAGCAAGAAAGGAAAAAAACAGCTTTTCTTTGGTCGATAAAAATCTCACCACGGAGTCAGAGAAAAAGGGACATATATCAGGTTACGGATAACATTTATTTTTATATTTTACAGTAGATGGAATACAGCTTTCTCCATTACTGTTTCTTTTCAACTGTCAATCCGGTCTTTTTGATGTTGGCAAGATTGACAGTTGTTCCCACGTGTGATCCTGACTCTCGGGCTCATATGCAAATCGACAAATATCCCATTTCTAAATTTAACTGCTAGTCACTTACTAAGGGTTCCACCGTGTCTGTGCGTACTGCGTTCTCCCAGTGGCACTCTGCCAGGTGTGTGACCAACTTTGGTAATATAGCTAGTAAATGCACCAGGTGAGTTAAATAAAGTTGGCCGATTCTGTTCCCTAGTAGTAGACCTGACCAGTTTTTATTTATTTATTTTATGGTCTTGATTGTCATTATAACATGATGATACAACGAAACTGATCCTCTGCTTTTAACAGAGGATAATGACACCGTGACATTAAAAAAAAAAGTCAGCTTGAGGAGATCTTGAGGAATAGAAATTTGCTAGGAAATAAACGTATCAAATTGAATTTTTCATGCTACATTAAATGCGTTTTGGAGCCATGTCAGTTCATTTTAGGTAACTAAATTATTCATTTTAGGGTCACATTCTGCCCTGAGTTTGTGTTTTTAAACATTTTGATTAAAGAACGCACACAGATTTTTTTAAAGACCATCTTTATTTGGAAAAAAAGTGTATTTATTTTACGATTGCGTGAACATGAAGCAGACGTATTGCTGTGAAGGCAGAGATGCAGAGAAGCTGTTGTTGATACATTTTCAGGTTTCCTCAGAGCTTAAGGAGCGGATGTGGTAAGACTTACATCCTCTCTGCCCCCATCATGCCAAACTACCAGGAACTGGTTTTTCCACATAACTAATTCATATACTTTGCCTCTTGGTTCTGAAGATATGCAGTGCACAAACACCCCTAAAAATAATCCTCCGCAAAAAAAAAACTGGACTGTGACAGAATGCAGGGGAATCTGGAAGGCAGTGGAAAGTTTTTTTGTGTGTGTGTGTCCTTTGGCGTAAATTATGCAACTCTGTCTAATGCTAAACTGCCCTCAGTGCTGTTGCAATTAGGTCCCGTGCCAGCAAGAGTCTGAAGAACACACTGTGTGTGAAATATAGTCACTTTACTGCTGCCAAAGGCTGTTCACTTCCACTCTCTTGCAGATATTAGACCTAGGCAGAAATTGTCCTTGAAACATCTGAAGTTACTCTGAAAGTAATGATAGTCAGACTTTTTTTACTGAAATGTCCGGCTTTAAATCTTCTTTAATCGTCTTTCTAAATGACATGGTGATATACTGTGGGATTAGAGAAATTAGGAAACGGAACACAGCGGAACCTCGAGATACGAGTCTGATGCGTTCCACAACAGCGATCCGTATGTCGATCTCGATTGCATTTTCCCCATTAAAAAGCCCCCAAGAAATATACTATTAATTAATTCAATTAAAATCGCCCCCATCTAAACATCAAAAACATAGATATAAACAAATATATTGATCATATGAAATAATAATAATTAAGAAAACATTTTAAAATATTCTTATAAAAATGGGTAAAATAACCCACTAATAAGCCACTAAGTGTAGGAGAAGTTTTATTTCTATTTATTTTTGTTTTATTAAACAATAAATGAGATCAGGCAGATGGGTGTATACCTATAACCTGTATGCACAAGATTTTACCAGCACTCGATGTTTCCTCGTATTAATTTTAAAATAAAACGAGTAAATACAAGTTTGAAGTTAGAGACCGCTGTAAAGTATGTCAGGAAGAAAGTGGCAGGAAGTATGAGCAGAAATGCTCAATGAAAATTTAAAAAAAAAAAAAAAAAAAGACGGAAACGATTGTTGAAAGTTAGTCTTAGAAAATAAATAGCGGAAGCATAAAAGTAAGTACAAAATTGGGACTGGGACTTGAACATGTTCCTTTTTTTTTTCATTTAGTAAATAATGCCTTCGAAACATCAGTACAAAGTCAAAACAGAAACTTTCTAGCTTCCCTTATTTCTTGCACACTCCACTGATTCACACACTCCAGCGTGCTAGCTGGTGAAAATGCACCTCAGCTACATTTTGCTGCTGCGTAGAACGTGCAAAATGATGCATCGAGTGATGCCAACCAAAGATAACACCACATTGCTGGCTCAGGAGAATCTTTCTGTGCGTCAGTTATAACCATGTATAGACGAGCACAGATCTTTATATTTATATAATATTGTTTGTAGAAAAACTAGCTACAAAGCTAAAATCTTTAGTCAGATTAAACAGCGCCACAGGAACCCTAAGCTGAATTTTTACTTTTTATTATTTGTATTTGTGTTGTAGTTTGTGTATGTGTGTGATCTATTTTTTTATTTTTATTTACATATTTGCACAGAATGATAAAAAAATACAGTCAACAAATTTAAATTTTTGTCTGGTGCTTTCTAGATTTAGGTCACCGGTCCAAAGAGAAGTGCTGACATTACACAGAAGTACATCAGTTAGAAACAGATGTTTTTATTTTTCTACCGTCACCTTCGATATGAGTCTCTCCCCCGGCAGTTCTCTTTATGCGGTGTTATCATAAAGGCTCTGCTGCTAAACTGCTGCTAAACTCATTCTCTACAGAGAAATCCTTCACACAGGTGGTGTGACAGGAAAACACTGTGGTGGAATACATTACTATGACAGGGTTTCCTGTTTACCAACGTAGCTGCTGCAGAGGCAGCACATGCACCAGCAGTTCACATCCTCAGTGTAACTGTCGAGAGAACAGAACGAACACCATAAAGGGAAATGTCGGTCCGGTGCAAGTGACATACAGTAGACTTTAGGGAACTTTACTTTTTGAGCTGTACAGATTTCAAATTCGATTTTTTTTTTAGTTATTATTGTAAAATAGTCTCTGTTTAAGTAGTGACCTTGACCCTGTTTTCAGAAGCGGTAAATTCCTTGCATCTGGTGGTCTTCGGCCTACATGGTCAGTTGGGCTGCTCTTTGTGGGCTGCAGCCAGCTGGATGCAACGATCATGTAAAATAGGACAATCCACCCTGTGGAATAAATAAAAATGGTGTCACCAGCTGCTACCACTGAATTTTCCATTTCATATCACCAACCCTTACTTCACATGATGTAAGAACTTTTTTTTTTATTCTTGCATGATTCTGTATCTGTTCTCCCCCACCACCTGTCTATCTAACGGCTTTTTCCTGTGGCAAACGAAATAATTTTTTTTAACCCATCGAGTGTCTCTCAAATTACAGTCCTTCGTCACACTGAATGATAGCGTTCCTCAAAGTCAAGTAGATGCTGAAACATCACATTTTCAAGAATGTAATGTCACTCTGTCTGATATGAAAGAATTGCTGTCCACATACTGTATCAATGAACATTAGGGATGTCCAATATTAACTTTTGCCGATATCCGATATGTCGATATTGCCCAACACCAATTCCGATATCAACTGAAACCGCTATAGCGGGGCAGTGGTGGCCTGGTGGTTTTTTCAGGTTTTTCACAAACCACTGTATGAGTTGATGGCACTATTCAAATAGATTAATAAAATGAGCTCCAATGCTGCCATCTAGTGACTTTCACTTTCATATACAGCCGTTTTTTTCCTAAAACTGTTTTTAGAGCAACTATTTTTTCAGATTTTCATTATCGGAGGAAAAAACGGATTTTTAGAGCAACTATTTTTTCGGCCAATCCCAGGCATTGCGTTATAAGATTTTCATTATCGGAGGAAAAAACGGTAACGATTCTTACAGATATTACATAATTATGCTAATATCGGGCCTACAATATCGGTCGGCCGATATTGTCGGACATCCCTAATGAACATCGTTTTTGGAGACATTGCTAATATACCATTGATTGAGGATGTGTGGAATAGAGGGGGAGGAGGTACTCTGTGAGTCGGAGGAGCGAATCAGAGACAAGCAAGGTTTGTGCATTGGATTAGAAATGTGAAAAGTCTCCCTCGGGACAGGGCGTGGTATTGGATTAACTTTGAGCTTAACATTACTGAACCTGATAAGACCTCCTGGGATGTTTTTGGAACACAGCAATTTTTCAAAGGTTAAAATATATATATA